TCGATCTGCGCCTGGATATTTACCTACAATCTGCGTGACTTATTCTACGCACCATGATTTCCCCACTTGCGTTCAAGCTTGCTATCGTCTATTTGTTACCATACATCTATATAGCATTGCACCCTACGGCGTATAATGGGAACAACCTCCACCTGACTACATCTTATATATCCATCAAAAGCGTGACGTCGGTGCTGGACTTGGACATGACGGTTGGGAGCACTGTGTATAAAACCAAGTATGTGACAAACAGTACCCATGGATACCTGATAGTTGATTTGCCTCCTTCCATCGGCCTTTGTATCATGTTATCAGCACATGCGCCCGGATTGTCGTGTCAAGACCGAGACACTGTATCAGTGGACCAGCTGGCGGCTCGCCTCAACCCTGTACTCGTGCAGACGGCGTTTGGAGTGCCAACATTCTCATACACTAACAAAGACTCTATACTAAACGTCGTAACTTCCGGAACATACAACTACCCCTTTTTGGTGCAGAGCTTCCCGTCGCTTGCGGTTAAGTTGAAGGCCCCTGTTCAGATAGTCGCGGGGAATGATTGCGGTGCCGAGGACTGCTCTGTGCCGAGAGTCGCCGACTTTTTCATCGACGGCATACGCGACACGTCGATATACGTGGCCGCACATCTGGGTGTCAAGCACATATACACCCCATATATTTCCCCCGCAGTTAACCGGATCATCGGACCGCCTGTCCGATACCTGTCTGCCCCCTTCAGGAACTGGTACGAGAGAGCGCTATACGCAGCAGACCATTTGACCGCCCGTAGATTTGAGGCCGGACTACCTGCCGCACCGGAGAACATTGGCTTATCGTCATTGGCGGATGAGTTGGCGGCGGGGTTACCAGCTTACGAATTCCAGGGCCCATCTATCAGCGCAAACATAAAACACGGGTCTCTCGGCTCTGTTGTGTCCTCTGGCTCTGATTCTAGCCTGACCGTGTTCAAGTCCCCATTGGAGTCTGGCTCGTCCATCTCAGTATCGTCGGGCTCCGCTTCCGGGGTAATCGCCTCGTCCCGTGACGCCCCAACCTTGGAGCGTTGGCAAGGGCAGGCAACAAGATAAAATACCCATCAATGCCATCACTGTCAGCCGTGGGACGGAGCGCACAGACACTGCAGACGTTGTCTCAGGCTCCCGTTGATTCGCTGGTTCAAGTGCCAATATCAGTGAGGCTGGCCGGAACCCCGACAACTATAAACGTGATCAAGTCCAACAACCGGAACGTACTCGCCACCCTATCAAAGGTGATGCGGCGCATCCCGAAACGCAGACGGAGACAGGCCAACATCTTTAGTAGGAAACTAGCGACTGCTATGCGTGGCATCGGAAGGACGTTGGAACGCATACCATCCTGGGTGAGCCATGCGGTGGGTGTATCCGTCCCTTGGGTATTCTCTGGGGTGCAGCATCTGTCCACTCTCGACCTTAATGTGACGATAATACATCCAATACAAAGGCTCGCCTCCTATGAACGCTTCTTCATAGCGATGTCTTAGCTACTATTCAGTCAGTGTTTTCACGACGAGACTATCCGCTCGGAGGTGTTAGCTGCCCACAGTCCCGACAGTAGTATACAGCTGGGCATGCGTACCCTTACCCCGGCTGACGTCCTGTTCGATGTCCATCTGGCTGTAGCAGGCGACACCCTGCGTGCGTGTTCTCCCTTCTTCAAAAATCAGTTCTTTGGGATGGACAGGGAGTTGCTCTTAGAGATGCTGTCGGTGCATTTTGACACATCTTTACTCGTCGGAAACACACTCTTCTACAACGGATCAGCTAAGTACATTATCAGTGACTACACAGCCTACTTCGACGATGTCTTTCCCCGATTCTCCCCATACGCATACCACGCAGATTCTGCACGCGAGAGGGGAGCCATGGACAAGGTGGCTGCTTACAATGAGAACTTCTTGCGAGTGCGTCGTGCTACCGAGGAGACAAAAAACTCGACCACTCGTCGTGTTAAGCGACAGTCTTACACCTTTCACGGCGGAGAAAGGGTGGAGTCGAGGCGCGGGTCTATGCCTACTATAATCCTTGACTCTGGGTCACCCTTTACAATGAGTGTCCAATACCTGTTGAACACGCCCCGCCTTAGATATGAATTCGACATACTGCAGGCATCACACTACAATACCTCTTTTTCATACTACAAGTCACTACGCCAATTCGCTACTTCAGCTTCACTGGACTTTAACGACGCAACCTTGCACTCGGCCTTCAGAATCTTGGGGAACATAACTTTGGTGGAGATCATTCGCGGTATGAATCCGTTTGATGTGTACGCTCCACGGTTAAACATCATTAGAGAGTTAATAAGCGGGTATGACATGAGAGCAGACATATTGAAACTGCGCACAACATCTGTCAAGATGAACACCCCAATGGAGTATGCTAGCATACCAAGCTTGGTGGGGCTCTTCTATGCGATAAAGTACCCCTCAGATAGAGCAGGGTTCGAAAAGATCCGAAACATGGACGTGCCTGTCACTACCATGAAGACCATAGGCTCAAGTCTATACCAGTCTAGATACTCCGTCACCGCGATGCAGGTTTGTATGAGCGGCGGAGTGTGCCATAGTGTAGTAGTTACAGCGCCATCTGTTGGTACAGTCGTCGTGGTACTGACGTCAGGATAAGCTCATCACGCACAGATGACTGAGCTCATCCTGACGTCATCCACCTCCGGTTCTTCCGGGGGGAGCGTGTGGCGACATCGACGATATGCCACTACAAACTGTGTACCAACAGATGGCGCTGTAACTACTACACTATGGCACACTCCGCCGCTCATACAAACCTGCATCGCGGTGACGGAGTTTTATATCCTGCCAAGTATACACCGTGTTACTTTGCATTCTTGCCATATTCACAGAGATAAAAGTAGGGAACAATACCTATTATTTAAGATAAACAAGAGACTCCCATAAAGAAAGTACACTAAGATTTTAGTAAATTTGGTTTTTCAGTACAAATTGGAATAAACCAATTTTGTCTCGCACGTTCTACACGTGCAAGTGGAATGAACCTAGTGGGCGTGGCCTAGTTCATAATTTTATGGCTCTGGGTACCAGCCTTTTTATCCAGTCATAATAATTATTTTAAANTATCCCACAACCATCATCATCATTTTAGAAGATATATAGAAAAATGCGAAAAATCAAAAAATCATGTGATTGAAAACAAACGAACCCAGGAAACAAAAAATCGCACAGCCAGCCCGGCTTCTGTGCTATCTACCCGTCTAACTGCCTTATTTTTACCGACTGAAAAAGTTGTATGAGGTTTTTAATCGTTACGGGAGCAACATATCAGTGATAAGCAACAATGCCAAATGAGAAATATACGCCACGAATGGCTCAAAGATAAACACTTACGGTGAGAAAACGCTGACTCTTAACTTGGGAATTAAATAATTTAGAAAAATGTGAGTCCCTCCAGAGCGAATAATATTTCTTAAGTTATCCGATAACGAGCCAAGGAATCGCCCAACAGAGCAGAAATACAAAGCAATCGATGAATTGAAACACAGTTAAGGAATTGAGAAAATTACGCAGCCGCGTATCAAAGTATTCATAATGAATAATTAAGTATGATAATTCGCCTATCCTTTGGTCTTCAGAAGCCGATAACGCTTACGAAATGTGCGAGGACACAAGGCATGAACGCTGTGACTACAGCGCACCCATCGCGTAACGCCGAGCTTGCGCGAGGGCAAACCACGACTGTGAAAACGCCAGATAAGGAAGAAGCCAGTGGTTATGTTTTGTTAAAATCTTTATAAACATTTCACCATTTTCACCATATGATTTGTATAACGTAGATAGTTATTGTAATTTGTATTATGTAATTAGCGCATTATTTCTATTTCTTGTATGTAAGTATGTAGAGATTGAACATTGAACCATGTATTAACGTAGATAATTTATGTATGTTATTGTAATTAGCGCATTATTTTTTATTTCTTATTTAAAGGGGGTATGCGCAATACTTAATCTCTTCATATCTTATCTTGATCACGTTCACAGTGTCAGCACATTTATCACGTATAGTGCTGATGCTGTGACGTCATTTATCTATAATCTACATCGTATAAATACTCGTGTAAAACAGACTAATAACAGAGACTAATACCAACTGTTGTATCATTCATACGGTCTCCCAACATAGCACAGAAGGCATTAAGAAAATTCATTCAATAAGTTTTTATTTACAAAAATTAAGCGACGCTCAATAAAAAATGTCTCAACATTCGATAGATAACAACTTGGAATCTATATCTATCTATATTAAGAATTTCCAAAGATTGGTGGAAAGCAAACCACGACTGTGAAAACGTAACTTACAAGAAAACAGAAAACAGCACGTATACCACTAGATCAGGAAGAACTGTCAAGCCAGTGGTTCGATTTTGTTAGATACGAACTCATCTTTATGAACATGTCACCATTTTTCACTACATAGATTTACTTTACAGTACAAATGTATTAACGTAGACATTTATTGTAATTAGCGCATCATTGTTTATTCCTATTTAAAAGGGGGAGTACTGTGCCGGTATGCACATAATTTAATCATTATCTTGATCACGTTCAGTGTCAGCAGATTTACCACATAGTGTTAAGATGCTGTGACGTTATTTATCTTTTATCTGTATAAATACTCATGTGATATAATTAATAAATCAGACTAATAACAACCTTTGTCTCATTTATACGATACCCTACCATGGCAAAATTCCCATCAGAAAATTTTCTGAAGAAGTTTCAGAATCCCACATCGTTTAAATAATCACGTAGACCAACCAACAACCAGACCAACAACAACCTTTGTCTCATTCATACGGTCCCTACCATGGCACAGTAAGCGACATATCATAATCTCCAACAACTGGCAAGTTTTCAACTATTAAAGAACAGCTAATTAGTTGTTTTGAAGAATTGGAACAACAGCGGTTACATACGGTTTTTTATCATCTATACAACTGTTATCAGATTTAGACCTGGGAGATCTGAAGCCATCACACCTTGAGAGCCGGATGCGGTAGTTAGGACGCGAGATAATCGATGATAAAACTAGGTATTCTAGTTTTATGGCTCAGGTTATTATTGCCATTTAATGTGACTTCTGTTTTGACCGTATCAGAAACATCACATTTAGACAAAATAAGCCAAATAAAATATTAGAGAATGCGAACATTAATGAAGTATCAGCAGTCAACGACAACGGCAGCAAAATTCAAGAGACCAAACAATTGAAAATGTGCTAACACACTTACAGCAAATGCAATTGGAATTATGTGCCATGAAGAATGACCATCAAAAATTTACGACGCAGGATTTAAAGTAGTTTTTATTCGTCAAACCAAAGCTCCAAAGACCGAATCATTTATAACGCCGACAGTTGTCTCAATCAGAATGAAGCAGACCAGCTCCGGGTAGAAATGCTCCAGGAGCAACAATGGACGAGGAATTGCATTATCGGACAAACGCTGTTCAATATAGTTATTGCACCTGTGAACCTCATCATTAAATTCATGGACAAAAGGATGAAGTCAATAGCCAACAGGAATCGTAATTGCAACGAATAAAAACAGCTTCAAGCAACTTCAACGCAGGCATCGGCCGTTTTTTAAATTTCACCAAAATGTCCCATTCATACTTTCGTGTCCGACAGTACACCCCAATATTCGATGGTTAGGTGAACACTCTTTTGATCAAACATGCCTTCATTTGACTCAATCTTCGGCCACTTATTATCCTGATGAATATCAAGGAACAACTTGCATTAATATGATTTCGAAATACGGGCGGGCGTAATCACGTAATCACGGGCGCGGGAGCTGAGGGCAAAACATATTGTATGTAAACATAATATGTTCACGATAATAGATGTTTGCTTTGTACTGCACAGTCAAAGTCATCGCTCGCATATACAGAGGACACGTTATGTAATCGAAGTGCAGTATTAACAACAGTTATCGCGGCTACTATCAGTATTTCACTTCGCGGTCAAACTTTTTGGAACATACCTACAAGTCTGTCTACCTAGTTGATGCAATAGTACGAATTAAAGTCATGTTATCGACTACGATAGTTTATCAAAGTATCACACGTTGCATACAATTAAATGTATGACTTGTGGCCTTATAACCAGATATATTCCTATGTTTCGTTTAAATAAATTGACGGATTGATAAGTCTCGTGCCTATAAATTGGGAAACTGATAGCCTAGATCGACTCTCATCGTATGAACTTCTGAGACTGCAGAACGTATTCAACCGTCTCGCTGTTGGCTAGTGTTTTCCGCGTCATACGAAAAGTATATTTCCTCTTAATCTCAATGAATTTGAAAGGAAAAAAGTCGACGTCAAAACGCCGCCGCGTCTCTGAAAATACGGCTGCACCATCACCACCGCTCTCAACATCGAAGCAGCCAGTTATCTTCTCCTTGGAGATGATTCTCTACATGGCCAACTTCATGTGCTTCCAAGACTACAAACGGTTTGTTCAATCCTTTTATCCCGATAACGTCGTGAATGATCTCATTCGGAAAAAGTTGTGGGAGCTATCCACTTGATAAGCCAATGGTGATCGAGTACAACTTCAACCCCTCAAGACCAAAAGAACATCACATACTGATGAACGTCAAATCTTTGTCACCTATTTTTGGTGGAATCATGTCTGAAACAATGAAGGAATTCACAGGGGTTCCTGAGCTAACGGATTTCATCGATGTGCACGTCCATTTGAATCAGTGCTCAAGACGTCAATTCGCTAGCTGCCCGTGTCACTTGGTTAACCCGAAAAGCCAAGATTTTGAAGCCTTCAGAAATCGTTCAAATCTGTCAGCCCCGAGCAACCTTCTATTGTGAACACCGCCTTCGGGTATATCGTCGCAGGCAGCAGTAACTCAATTGTAAATCAAAAACAAAACCAGGTGATATCTTTATTTTGTAGAGAATGCTCAAGAGAACAACGTGTTTGACAGTGTCACAATTTTCCAAGCTGAAATGAAGGCCCGATTGGGTCTTCGAGAGGCTCTTGTGGGTAAGGTTCTAAACACTGAGTACACGGGCTCCGAGCTAGCTGCCATCAATCAAGTGAAGATGGTATGGGAACACTCTGGCTACAAAGCCGTCCTGTTCATGATCGCCTTCATAGAGGCCCGCAGTGCCGTTTTAGAAATAGAAGCAGTGCTAGATCAGGCTCTTGCCCTGAAATTCGCAATGGACCAAGCGAAGACCCAACCTCACTTCCCATTCTCGCGGGTTATCAACCCCAATGCACATCCCGAGCTGACACACAAGAATTATAATCATCTATACGTGGCCGCCATAGCCTATGCGAAAAAGATGAAGAGCGTGGGAGAGAACTTCCGCACGTCGGAGGCCATTAAGAGCAACCAGCTCTCCCTCATTAATAGATACCTGGAAGAAGACGCCAAGCTCTCCATCTCTGAGCCCTCAGATGCTGTGTTGGAGAAGATGCGCATTCTGGGCCTTGGGACCAGAAGACGCCGTCGACGTGACGGGGATAGCTCAGATGAAGAGGACGCAGAGCCCCGTCGCAGAAAGCGTAGGCACTAAGCTTCTGATAGGTGTCGCCATACAATTGTCTTTAAGAAAAACGAGTGAACAAGTGTTGCCACAATACTGACCCAAGAAGCCATGGATTATGAGGACGAGTATCCCTTGACCCTACCAACCGATAAGACAGGATTAACAGTTGCAGGAGTTGCCGGGGTGCCTACGACCATGCCCTTGAGCAAAAGAGGCGTGAGCACCAGAGGAAAAGCCAGGAAACCCCCTGAGAAAAATGCAAGATATAGAACTCATCCAATTTGTTCCTTGCCCTCTTAAACGTCGTGCCGTTGTCACAGTAGACATCGCTGGGCAAATTCCTTCTTGCAATAAAGCGCTTGAAGCACGCGAGAAAGCACTCGGTTGTCAAATCTGAGCAAAGTTCAAGGTGGATAGCCTTCGTGACGAAACATACGAATAGTGCAATGTAACCTTTTCCAATCACGGGTTTCCTGATGCGACTGTTTTTTACGGCAACCGGTCCAGCGAAGTCTACCCCGACCTTCTCAAACGGGCGGCATGCGTTGACTCGTGCTGAAGGCAAGGAACCCATCAGTTGAGTTGCTGCAGCGGCTTTCAATCTGTGACAGGTTACACATTTATGAATAACCTTTTTTACAGTGCGCAATCCATCAGGAATCCAAAATCTTTGTTTGATAGATGATAAAACCAGCCTTTGACTTGCATGCAGGAGCATAATGTGTTCATTCATAATAATACGCTGTGTGAAATTGTCCAAAGATTTATTTTATTTTATTTATAATCAATTCGGTGATAATCGATTTTTTGGGCAATATTGCGGCGTGCCGATTTGCATAGGGAAGTAATGCATTTTGTAGCCGACCGCCGACCCTAATAACACCGACACCGTCTATAAAAGGTGAAAGTTGCATCAAGCTACCTGTGACTTGTTTGCCAGATTGCAGAGACTTAATTTCATCTGGATAAAATTGATATTGTTCATGCTTCACTATCAACAGCAATGCATTGTCAAGTTCATCTGCGGTGACAAATCCTTTCCTTTTAACAGAGTTGGCCCCTATATTATTACAAAATCTAATGACGTATGCAAGAATTCTAGTCATTTTGTTTATACTCGAATACTTTTTTAGCCCATCAAAAATACTGCAATGAGTATCAACAGTTGTTGTACAAACAATTAAACTATTGTTCTTTTTTAATTCAGGTAGCTGTATCTCAGTTTGAGGAACTGGCAAGAATGCATAATTTCGATCATGCAAGAACGAAGGGCCNGGTTCTTAGCTATGTTGGGAGCATGCGCTGACAAACTTTCAGCCTTTATAAAATAACGTAGGTCTGGCGTTCACTAGCTCTTAGTCTATTAGTACACATTGGTTCAGTACAACAAAAACTTAAACAATATTGTATACAATGTATATCATGTATAGAAAAGAAAAAAAAACAAACAATGAGATGTTCATAGCTAAATTAGTGTAAAATGTTACACTTCTAATCACACACAGATAAAGCTACACAGAGATGAAGCTCTCTTTTGTGAATACAAAAAGTCTACAGACCAATATGTTGATTTGTCACATGGCTCCTATGTAGACACAAGCAGTCATGACTTGTCCAGGGATCCTGTNGATCATGCAAGAACGAAGGGCCTTGCCACCACGAAACATGGTTTTGTAGTTCGTGTGGTTGAATACCTCTGCTAAGACAATCTGAAGGATTATCACTGGTGTTAACATAATGCCACTCATAGCTGTGTGTGAGTTCCCCTATCGACCTGACTCTATTTGCGACGTATGTTTGCAACTGAGTGACGTCAGTTCTCAACCAGGCTAATACAATTTGCGAATCTGAGAAGAAATGAGTATCGTTGACTAAGAATTTTTTAAGTAACGTACCTTTTACTTTTTTAGCTAACGTAGCCAATAATATCGCAGCATTCAGCTCAAGTTTAGGCATGGTAAGCTTTTTTTTACACGGATTTATACGTGACTTCGAACAAAGCAAATGCATATGAACGTTACCTTGCTCGTCAATGGAACGCAAATATAGGCAACACCCGTAAGCTACAGAAGATGCATCTGCAAATCCTATAAGCTGAATGCTTACTGCATTTATTGGTTTGACACATCGCGGGATGTTAATGGTATTCATCTGTGAAAGATTTTTAACAAATTCAAGCCACATTTGACGAATATTGTCTGGAGGAGTGGCGTCCCAGTCCGAATCAGAAGCCCATAGCAGTTGCATAATTACCTTTGCATGAACAATCATCGGTCCTATCAGTCCCAAAGGGTCGTAAAATTTGCTGATATAACTTAATATTTCGCGTTTTGTATCATGTAAGCTTTGGTAAGGCTCCGGACATGAGCTTGCAAACACATCCTCTCCAGTATCGAAATTAATACCTAAAACTTTGATGTAATCTCCTTGCAGATCAGGCTTTACAGGCTGATGCTTGTCTTTAGGTACCTTTTCTAGTATTGAGCTACAGTTGGAGGCCCACTTGTGAACCTGGAATCCTCCCTGGGCGAGAAGATCTATAATTTCCTCCTGCATTTTCAACAATTCAGTTTCAGTGTTAGTGGTTGGGAGCATATCATCTACGAAGGTATTGTTCTTAAGTATTGATGATGCACGTGGATATAAATCCTTATATTTATCAGCAAGATCTATGAGACAACGCGTAGCCAGGTACGAGGATGACTTGAGACCATAGGTAACAGTGTTTAACTGTATACATTTAATGTGGTCATCTCGTGACTCACGCCAAAGTATGTTTTGCAAAGATCGTTGCTTGGGATCTATTTCAATGCATCTAAACATTTTTGTAATATCGCATATAAAATACAACTTTTCTAATCTGAAAGCTAGTAAAATTTCAAACAAATCACTCTGAACTACTGGACCGTTGAGCAACATGTTATTGAGTGACACCTTCTTTTCAGTTAGCATGGAACCATCAAATACTACACGAAGTTTTGTGGTACAACTATCCAAATTAATGACAGCATGGTGAGGGAGAAAATAAACAGGATCCCTGGACAAGTCATAACTGCTTATATCTACATAAGAANTTTGATGGGTATAATAGTCCAATAGTGTAGGTTGTCTGCCAGACGAAGGCGGCGATTTTTTTCTTGATAACAAGAGTGAGCGGCGCCTCTCGCGATCAATTATTTACTAGACCAAGCAGCAACTTGAATAATGTACTGGATTAACTGTTAAAATAGTTAGTATTAAGTTATTCAATCAATTTATTGGTATATCAACGGCATTAAGTTCGCCTTGTGTACCAATTTATATGGCATTAAAGAATAAATATTATAGTTAGTTTTTCTGCGTTCGAAACACAAATCCAGAAAGTACAGTATAGAAGAGGAATAAATTGCAAATAGTTGATACAATATCAGTATCGGCGCGCCGACAGCTTGTCGTCGGCGGCGGCGGCGTGCAAAAATTCGCGGCGGCGGCGGCGCGCCGGCGTGGCGCCCACCTCTACTTAGGACTAACCTAGCCTTCATCTCCGACTGAAAGAGTACTACGCTGTCATAAACGTTGTTTTCTTGTGCGCTTTCTAGACGCGATGGAACACCTATTCCCGCGAGCATCGCTTCCCATCTTTTCTGGAGAGCGGTTCTGTTGGTCGAGTTGATCTCTTTTCCTAGAGAGATCAGCAGGCACATCCCGAGATAGAGTTTATGTTGCCCGTAGTCCCTTTCTGGCTTAGCAACCCAGCCGGGTTTTTCTGTACCTGTAATCTGCCTGAGAGTGGCATTCAGTAGACCCTTGGCAAACCAGATGGCTGCCGATATAACATAGCGGGGTGTAGGGTAATTGTTGCCCTGGTTGGCGTCATACTCCCCTCCCTGCGACATGAGGGTTTCGATGTTTGTCAGATAGTCGACATCCTCTGCGGGGTTCAAGTTGATAGCCTCTCTTATTATGTTCATGGTTGTTGGCTGAATCAAATGTTATACACTCTGTTCTACTGGACCGTTGAGCGACATGTTATTGAGTGACACCTTCTTTTCAGTTAGCATGGAACCATCAAATACTACACGAAGTTTTGTGGTACAGCTGTCCAAATTAGTGACGGCATGGTGAGGGAGAAAGTGGACAGGATCCCTGGACAAGTCATGACTGCTTGTGTCTACATAGGAGCCATGTGACAAATCAACATATTGGTCTATAAACTTTTTGTACTCACAAAAGAGAACTTCATCTCTGTGTAGTTTCTTTTCCAGATTCAGAAATCTATTGAGCGCTAAATGAAACGATTGTCCTAATTCAGAGTTAACTTGCTCTAATGGCACCTTAATGGGCATTGTGACTTGATACTTATGGTTCTCAAGCTTTGTTGTTTCCCTAAAAAGATTTTCACAATAATCATGCTCTGGTAATTGTTCTGGGAAGATCTCCGGTACCTTCTCAGAGTCCCAGAAAGCATTCAGTTGATTACTAATTGAATTGTCGCATTCTCTACAAAATAAAGATATCACCTGGTTTTGTTTTTGATTTACAATTGAGTTACTGCTGCCTGCGACGATATACCCGAAGGCGGTGTTCACAATAGAAGGTTGCTCGGGGCTGACCGATGTAGAAGTTGCAGGTACTTGTCCTGTGACAGAAGTCTCTGGCTCAGATGCTAGCAGGGCCTGGAAAAAAATGTCAGCTCCAAGTAACACATGCACATCACCAGGCGTGCTAAAGTTTTCGTCGGCAAGTTTACAATTGGGTGGAAATTTAAAGGACGACAAATCAATTTTAGTATGTGGCAATTTGGTCGTAATAGCTTTGACAATGTGACAGTTTACATTTACTTTGAATGGATAAACTGTAGAATGCACATCTACATTAACAGTTTTGTCAATGATCTGTTCCTTTTTGGTGATGCCAATGATCTTAGTATTGGAAGTTGTAGGAGCCTTTTGTAACAAATCAACAACTTTTTGTGTGATGAAAGATGCTTGTGAACCACTGTCCAGCAGGGCCCTGACATAAATTATGGTTCCCGACTGAGCCATAAGCTTGATTCGTGCAGTGGGTAACAATACTTGGCTCTGGGTAGCAGCTGATAATGAAACAGATGGAGAAATATGCAAATCATCATTATGCAATAAAGTATTATGCTCTTTTTTGCAGATAGTACATCTGAAGTGAAATTTGCATTTGCGCTTGTGTTTGGACAAACAAGTAAAACAGACATTGTTTGTTGTAGCAAACTCCAAGCGGGTTTTTATGGGTGCAAGCTGAAACGTTGGGCATCTATAAAGTTTATGTTGTGCAGACTTACAGTATGAACATGTTGATGTAGGTGTGGTAGCCGCTACATTGCTGACCATTCTCTGAGATGGCCTTTGACTGTCAGTGTTCTCCAATGAGAGGGATCGGCGCTCTAAAAAGCTCAGAAATTCGTCTATTGTAGGCATAGCGCTGCTATCTCGCTCCATTTGGAATGCACGATTAGTCAAAACATCTAGTTTTTTATACAATATACAGAGGAGCAATGAGTCCCAGCTGTTCACAGGCTCATCTAAGTTCTTCAGGGCTGCTAAGTTCTGCTTTATGTCTGAAATGAATGATCGTAAGTTAACCGAGTTTGATCTTGTGATGGTTGAAATGTCCAAGAGAGATTGCACATGCCCCTGTATGATCTGATTTTTGTTGTCGTATCTACTCTTGAGAAGTTGTAAAGCTTCTGCATAACTCTCATCTTGCAGTGGCAAATTATTGATGAGTGCATGAGGTTCACCACTGAGAGTGCTTTTTAGGTAATACAATTTTTGTACAGGAGACAGTGAGCAATCCTTGTGGATTAAAGCTGAAAAAAGATTAATAAATGGATGGTATTCAGTATACTTGCCTGCGAAAGTTGGCAGATCCATTGGAGGCAACTTTACGTTTGACGGCTTCGAGCCATTTGAAGATGTGGGCTCAGATGTTAACAAGGACAATCTATTTATTATAGAGTCCAAATTACCCAATAACCCAATGTATACATCTTCCACCGTACCGATATCTTCCGCGTCTTCCGGGTCAAGGATGGCAATACGTACACAGAAACGCTCATACTCTTGAAATACCTCTACAAGGCGCTGCCTTTTCGCCTTGATGGTTTCTAAGGGCAGTTTGAGGAATGCTTCGTATTCGAAAGCATTTTTCAGCCTAGATATTGAAGCCTTCGCGTGACCGCGATTGGCCACGAATGTTTTCAGTTCAGACATTGCTCACAATACGAAGCTAAGAATTTGGTTATTACAACTTATTATACGATCTTATTACAATTTGGTACTTTAACATAAATATTAAAACATTAACTTCAAAATTAAATTTGATAAAAAAGATGGAAGCTTAAAGTGACGTGACCGGAAAAAATGGCGAATGAGCGCGAAGCGACGACCGAAGCACGCCGAGACGAACGAAGTTCTTAGTTGCTAGAGTAAAAAATAAACATTTTTATTCGATGTTGCCAACAATAGTAGAAAAACTCCTTTATGCGCAAATTGTCAAATTCGCAAATTGTCAAGTTTTAAAAATGTCCAGTTGTTTAGGTTTAATAATAAAAGTCAAGTAATTAATTGGCAGAACTTTTAGTCATTAAAATGTTAAGGTTTTTTTAATTATGAAACCATAAAACTGTAATATAAAGACATTTTTAAAACTTGACAATTTGTGCATTTAACATTTTGCGAATTTGGCAGATTGCGACCGCTTGACAATTTGCGAATTTGACAATTTGCGCATAAACGGAAAAACTTCAAAAAAAGGAGAATCATGTCAAGCTCCTCGTCTCCTCTTGGTGACTGTGCCGCTGTAGTGAGACCTCCTCCTATGATGGTGTAATGCCCGTTTCCACCATCAATCCTTAATTTTGACCCCTATGGTAACACATAACAGGCATTATGATGTCATAGGGGTCACTTTAAAATTAGGGATTGATGGTGAAAGCCGGCATAAGAAGACTCAACTGATCAACTCTATTGTAGCAAAACTTCCTTCACTTGGCACTGGGTATGGTTAGACCTCCTTCCATCTTTCCTAGGTTAATGTGTCATGCCATGTTTGTTACAGTTGCTTGAATACTAAAATGCTCCCTTGTTCCCAGGTTCATGTCAGAGTCTGGTCTGATCGACACCTTCATCATGATGGGAGACAAGCCTGCTGATGTCTTCCGTCAGTACACCAGGCTCACAGGCGCCGCTCCTCTACCGCCGGTGAGTTTTCATTATCATTTCAGCTATATGATGTCCACTGCTGAACATATGTCTTTCCCAGTAAAGATACGCTAACCCCCAAAGTCAATGAATTTTCTATGCATTTAAGAAGTGATATGCTTATGCGTGTGTCAGGTCACTATAAAATTTTGTCAATAGTCGTCCACTGCTGAACATAGGCCTCCGCCAATGCTTTCCATGTTGCCCGGTTGGTAGCGGCCTGCGTCCAGCGCCTTCCTGCTACCTTTATGATGTCGTCGGTCCATCTTGTGGGGGGACGTCCCACGCTGCGTTTTCCTGTACGCGGCCTCCACTCCAGAACCTTGCTGCCCCATCGGCCGTCAGTTCTGCGTACTACGTGCCCTGCCCATTGCCACTTGCTTATCCGTCGGGCTATGTCAGCGACTTTAGTTCGTTTACGGATCTCATTTCTGATTTGATCTCGTAAAGAAACACCGAGTATGGCCCTCTCCATAGCACGCTGTGCAACTTTGAGCTTCTGTATAAGTTCCAACTCCGTAAACGTATTCTCTTTCCCCAGAAATTCTCGCTGGCCTACCACCAGTGCCGCTGGAACTACGTCGACGAGGCAGACGTGCGTGGCGTCGACGAGAACTTTGACGTCCACGACATACCAGCTGACGTCATCTGGCTGGATATCGAGTACACCGACCGCAAGAAGTGAGTATATGCGCGACTGATGTGCTGCTCAGCGAATCCCTTCACACTACAGCGGCTGTAGCGCGGCTAAATCGCGATGCCGTTGATAGCGACAGCCGCGCTTCACAGTCGCACTACAAGTTTAACACATTCTGGGAGTGGGTATTCAATGCGAAAAAACGCTCAACGGTTGGAATGTGCAGGTGACAAAATGTCCATAGGGACCGGCTGTTAGTGTGGCAAAAAGTATGAACGTCAAAAAGTCCCAGTGTCAAAATGTACATCATTACCATGGTTACAGTGATTTAGTGACAAATGGTACACATCACAAAATACAAGTACAACAAAAGGTGTGATAGATAAAATGATCAACTGATATATTGTGCTCATGATTAAATTAATAAAATTAAGTGTCAAAATGTTCAATGTTCTTGTAGTCCAGTCAATAAAGAGTTTTTTTTGACATTTTTACCTTGATGCATTTAAACACGTGTTCACGTTAGCTATTACATAATAAGTACGAATAAACACGAAGACATTTTAACTTCAGATCATTTTAACCATTGCTCATTTCGACGTTCATACTTTTTGCCACACTAACAGCCGGGTTTAATGGACATTTTGACACCTACACATTCCAACCGTTGAGCGTTTTTTCGCATTGACTACCCACTCCCAGAATGGTTTAACAACAAGCATTCAATGTACAATAATTATAATGTACACAATACACATGCGGCATGCAATATTGATCTAACGCCGACTGATCGCACGCGATCACGCGGCGTATACTGCCATCGCTAGATCGAAGCGCTGCAGTCGCGCGTCTGTCGCGCTGCAGCTGCACTAAATAAATAAATATGTATAGGTACGAGTCGCGCTACTGCAACGCGACTTAGAAGCGTTACAGTCCCGCGACAAAAACGCCTATATGTGAAAGCGCTCTTATACCACACATCCAGTACACCGACAGTAAGAATGAGCTCTAACACAGTAGTAATAAGAACTATAGTCTTAATGCGAGGCGTCGACGAGAACTTTGACGTCCACCACGACATACCAGCTGACGTCATCTGGCTGGATATAGAGTACACCGACCGCAAGAAGTGAGCCCTATTGCTATAGAAATAAGAACCATTATTGTTAGCACAGCGACTCATTTACACCACCATAGAAATATAGAGAGATGCCAACTAATCCGCTGAGTTCGAAACCAAATGTCTCTTTAGAAATTCACACACACAAAGTAATCAAAATAATAGGTCGCGAAGAGTTTTCCAACCAATCGCCACCAATTTTGCAACAAAGATGTGGCGTCATTTCACAGGTACTTCCCATGGGATGCACAGAAGTTCCAGCACCTCCTACACTGTACCTTAATTTAGTTGTAATAAAGGATCTTATCCGCCCTATTACATTAATGTTTTAGGGGTGATTTTTAACAAAAATCTTAACATAACCATTATTTTCAGGTACTTCACATGGGACGCGCAAAAGTTTCCGCACCCAGCTGAAATGGTGGCCAATTTAACAGCCAAAGGACGCCGTCTGGTGGCCATCATCGACCCTCATATCAAGCGTGAAGCCGGATACTTCTTGCACGAAGACGCCACCTCGCAAGGACTCTACGTTAAGGACAAGGACGGCAAGGACTACGAAGGTACGTTAGGACTGGGAGGGTACACACGGCAAGGACTACGAGGGTACGTTAGGACTGGGAAGGTACACACGGCAAGGACTACGAATGTATGTTAGAACTGGGAGGGTACACACGGCAAGGACTACGATGGTACGTTAGCACTGGGTGGGTACACACGGCAAGGGCTACGAAGGTACGTTAGAACTGGGAGGGTACACACGGCAAGGAGTACGAAGGTACGTTAGGACTGGGAGGGTACACTTGACGAGGGTACGTCGCTAGAACTGGGAGGGTACACATGGCAAGGGACGCCGTCTGGTGGCCATCATCGACCCTCATATCAAGCGTGAAGCCGGATATTTCCTGCACGAAGACGCTACTTCGCAAGGACTCTACGTCNTTTTATTCGATGTTGCCAACATGGTGGCGGCCACAGAAACAATATGTAATTCTAAAGAAGCAAACTAATTAGGTACATGAACTTAGTACACATTGGTTCAGTACAACAAAAACTTAAACAATATTGTATACAATGTATATCATGTATAGAAAAGAAAAAACAAACAATGAGATGTTCATAGCTAAATTAGTGTAAAATGTTACACTTCCAATGGTAGGACACATATTTTGGTTATAGACCTAGAGTGAGTATGAGAGTTTGCGGTACGCACTTCGACAGTACGCACTGCTGTCGTCGTCCCTATGTCGCCTCCTTCGTGAGCCAAGTCCTAAGAGACGCATTTTCTCAAGGACCGCCTCGGATGGTTCTGATATCGAAAGCTTTGCATCTTCCTCTAGATAACGATTTATAAGGGAAAGTTGGTTGCTTTTTATCGCTTCTGAAGTTCTAAAATTGTCGCTGACGCTTTTCATCTTCTTCGCGTACGCTATGGCTGCCACGTACAAGTGGTTATAGTCATTATGCGTTAGTTCAGGGTGGGAGTTAGGATTAATGACCCTGGTAAAAGGGAAATTGGGTTGAGCTTTAGCTGAGTCCATTGCTTGCTTTAAAGCAAGTGCTTGGTCAAGAACAGCTTCAATTTCCAAGACCGCGCTTCGCGCCTCTATGAATGCTATCATAAAGAGTACCGCCTTGTAGCCAGAATACTCCCAAACCATTTTGATTTGGTTTACCGCCGCGAGCTCTGAACCGGTGTAGTCGGTGCTCAACACTTTCCCCGCCAATGCTTCTCTTAGGACTAGAGGTGGGCGCCGATATATAATTGGCCGGCGGCGGCGCGCCGACTTTTTGAATTCGGCGGCGGCGGCGTCGGCGGCGTGACCTTGTTTGACCTTTATTCAATAGGTATTTTTTGAAAAATCTGCTTTTTTAGTATCTTTCTTCAAGACTAATCAGGTGATTTGCAGTTGGTTGGAGTTTGACATAGTAGAGCTACTAGAGCAGTGGTTTACCCTAGTAAATTAGCTCTCTTGATTATACTTTGATATTTGGATAGCAGGTTTGGCTGAGATCAGGTTTTCGTGTATTTCGTAAAGGCGAGCGTAACCAATGTGCCCTTAGCATGTATTTTTGATCTCTTTGGAGGCACACAGTTAATGATGGATTAGCTAACTCTCGACTGATCGACTAAAGTTAGATGCCATAATATTATGTTCAGATCTGTTTTATTTATATTTATGGTCTTTCCATGTCATCCTACGGTCCAGGTTTTTAATGCAGGTTGATTGCAGCAATGTGTCGAGAGAGATTTGTGATTTGATTTGAGATTGTCCGGAAGATAAGTTGACGACGTCTAAAAATGATAATATGATGAGACTTCGGGGCTCGCTTACATGCGCCACTTGGTCAGCCAAGCATTATTGGCATTTAGCTGACTTTGCAACAGTTTAGTCGCTTTAAGATCACAGTTACATTTGAGGAAAACCGCAGCTTTCTGGTATCTGGGCTGCTTTACTAGTAAATGTTGTAGAGTTCCGGACCAAGTACAGAGACCTGGGGTACTCCAGCTCTGCAGCTAAAAAGAGAAGATTTTGTCACGAAGTTTGATTTAAAACTGTCTGTCACTGAGATAAGACTCCATCAGTAGGTAGTAGAAGTGTGCTGGAAGGTACTTTTTAATTTCATAGAGCAGTCCTTTATGCTAAACCCAGCTGAAGCCGCAGCGAAAGCAGCCGTACAGGGTTCTTTCTTTTTCAAACATTGTACTGATTATTACCTCCTGCGACCTTCACCAAATGGTCGGTCCACCTAGTGGGAAGCCTGCCTACGCTACGTCTTCCGGCTCGTGGTGCCACTCAAGAACTTTCCTGCCCCAGTGGCCATCAGCTCTACGAGCTATGTGCCCCGCCCACTTTTAGCGATTTTAGCGATTCTACGGGCTATGTCAGTCACTTTGGTCCTCCTGCGTCTTTCGTCCTCTCTTAGCGTAGTAGGAATCCATCTTCTACTTTTAACTTGAGGAGGGTAAGCTGAAACATGGCGGTCAACTCCTCAGATAGGTACAAAGATGTCCAGAAGCAGCTTATGAAAAGAGGCAAAATGGGCCCTCTCAAATCACAATGGGAAGGTTTGGGAGCATAGCGCCTAGAATGGCGGGAGATTGCGAGTCCGCGAGTTCAAAGTGCAGCGCACACCTGAACTTGACGCGAAACGCAATGATGCAAATCTCGTCCATCTGCCGCCATTCACTATAATTATGTTAGCGGCGTGCTCAGATACTCTCAATGTGCGAGGAGTTTGCCGCGAAGATCGGCTATGTAAGCTATCTTCGGGCGCACCAGCGCCGCCAAGACAGCTAATTTAAAGTGGTTACCATGACTGAAATCGGTCGAAAGAATCATCATTATCAGTAGGAATCAAAGGCAGGCATAGCTGAAAGTCTCGGATCAAGTTTGTGCCGGTATGCACAAAATACTCGATCTTATTTTTTTAAAAGAATTGTGGAATTTTTTGAAGATTATCCGTGTCGTTGGGTTTAAATCCGGCTTGTCATGTAGCAAAGGTCTGAGATTTTTCTTGTCAGTTCGCACTCATGTATCTATTACCGAACCTATTAGGCTGAGAACACTTTGAGGGATTTTGAGGGATGTACTTTGTTGCCTTCCAGAGTTTGTGGTTCCCATTTGCATTCCGAGACATATTTGCGAATCTCTGTGTGAGTGATTCTCTTAAAGTATATAATAGTCCAATAGTGTAGGTTGTCTGCCAGACGAAGGCGGCGATTTTTTTCTTGATAACAAGAGTGAGCGGCGCCTCTCGCGAGGTTCCCATTTGCATTCCGAGACATATTTGCGAATCTCTGTGTGAGTAATTCTCTTAAAGTATCTGGGGGCACGGCAGTGCCCCCACCAAGTCGAGCAAAAAAGCGGCACGGCCGTAGCATCCTTTTCTCGAAGCAATTCAGGCCATTTTCGACCGCCTGTAACTTCGTTGTGGATAAAACTAGAAGGCTGAATTTTCATTAGCTATGCAGGCATTGTAAAGTTACGGTATATTTAAAATTNCGGCTTGCATACGCACTCTCATAGATCATGTTACCAGTTTTTGGACCTCTTCTTGAGAGACTACTGAGTCTCCACCTTCCTCCATGTATGATGCTGCTGCTCATCTGCTGCTCCTTTTCGAGCAGAGGGCAGATCCGGTTTATGGCACGGCGGATCTGACCCTGAGACGTTAATATATCGGCGACCCTGATGGCGCCATCGGAGCCTGGATGCACTGCTGTGGTGCGTCCGAGTGGCCACTTCACGACGGGCAACGCTTGTCCCTGATCAGCACCAGTTGGCCAGGCTCGACGTTGGGTTGCCTGGTCTGCCACTTGTTACAAAGAGCATTACAAAATATACACGAGCAGTTTCCTATGGGTGCGTTCTGGCCATGTATAGAACGGAAAGACGCGTCCCTTATATGTTCTATATCCAGCAACTCTTTATTTTTTGTAAAACAAAGCAATGCAGCTTCAGTAGTGCGGCAAAGGTTGATTGATGGATAAGTTAAAGAATGTTTATCTTTCTAACACTCTCAGACTTACGTATTTGTAGATAGGATTATCTACAGCAACTTTTTCTTGAAGAAGATCTGAGTATGTTTCGCAATAATTACCTTTTAATAGTCTATAGGCTGAATAGCCACTGAAAAACACGAGAGGCTGATTTCTTAAATCAGCCAATTCACATTCAATTTCTTCATCCAAATCGTCAAGAATCATTAGGGTGGGGTATTCTACACAATCTTGAAGGTCTTTATTAGGGTTCTCCTCAGATTTATTTGATTGGATAGTAGGGATGGCGGTTTTTGAACAATAACTTGTTCAAATCGTCCTCACAATTGGCTCCGCGACTGTGAGGAGCTTTCATCTCGGAAATCAGAGCTGTCTTCATAGCACTAGCAAAGTGAGTGCAGGTCTGGTTCCGGTCGGTGGGGCACTTTTCCGAATAATGCCGAAAAATTTTTCCAAACAATCTTGATTTAAACGCCGTCACTTATGATATCTGAATCCGTTCTTTTCGCAATAAAACCAAATATCTTTTATAGATTTAATACTGATGATATATCCTTGAATTTTTTTTTTCATTTTCAATATTTTAAGTGCATTCAAAACGAATACTGTCATGTTTACCAAGTTAATGTTTTTTCATGTTATGTGCTGGTACTTTTACATTTGGGGTGTCACTAGTCTAAAGCATTTAGAAGTAGATGCCTGCGAAATACCTGCAAATAACAAATTAATTTCAAGTAATTGCCCGCACGAATATTATGTAACCCGAATGGGCTATTGCTTTAACAAAGAAACAGGACTGTAATATTATATTTTTGAGAATGAAACAAAATTAACCAACAATTTAAAAAACAGGAAACATCCAGTCTCAATTTTACTTATCGTTAGTTGATACTTATTGCATAATTGCACTAAAAATGTAACACATAATAATGTTTTTAAAAACACACACCTTTTGTTCTATTAGAGTCTTGAATAGGAAAATTCACAAGAATATTGTCTGAGAGCGGTGGATTTAAAAGGTTTAGCACCGGTACAGCAAATTGTTTCAGTCTCTCTGTCACTTCTCTTCCCATTGAACATGTGACACAACGTCCGCGCTTGTAGCGGTCTTGTTTGGCCGTTCGTTCCTGAATAACCTCACTGTG